TGTGTCTAAAATTTATTAAAAATAAAAATTTTAAAAACAATGCATGGTCGAACCTCTGACTTACTAGCCACGAAAAAAAAAAAAATCTTATTCCAGATTACTGTTTGGATGTCTTTATAGCATTCATTTTTTTCATTACAAGACAAATAAGACATGTCCCTGCACGAGGGGAATTCACAGGAGAAACGGTAGGATTTTGATTTTGTACAAGGAGCAGCTCTATACCAGGGGAGAGAACTAACTAATCCTGGTTGCTTATTTGATGAGAGAAGGCCTTGTGGAGCAAGCGGGTGGCCTTAAGGTTGCATGGAATTTGCCTGGGGAGAAAAAGAGGCAGGCATTGGAGACAGGGTGGATGGCTTAGCCGTGGCTCTGAGGGCTGGGGTGGAGAGGGAGGATTCAGTGAATCGCAGATTGCCATTGTTGCATATGTGTATACACTGTGTCAGCACATGTGGGCAGACATATTCTGCTGTCTCCTCCACACGTCACAGAATATGGAAGCTAGAAAAGAACTAGAGACTTGACTCGGGAGCACCTCGAAAGTTGTGCTGGGACCCTGGCCTGCCTGGGAGTGTCTGTGTAGATCAGGAGGTAAATGACACAAAGGGGAGGCTGGCCTGTGCACTGCCTTTCAGCCCAGAGAACCAGCCCACGCAGGCCTCCAAAGGAGGGGAGTGCCCTCTAGGGGCTCAGATGATGCCTCTGAGTGCTGTTCATCTCTGTGCTTGCCACTAAGCTGGATCCATTACCTACTGGAGAGGGAAAAAAGACAGCTTCGCTCACCTACCTGGCTGCAGCTGTGATTACATTATGCAAACATTTATTAATGTGGTACCTTGATTGATGATTATCTTAATACCGAGGATAACATTAAAGGCTTGATTTTGCAGGCAGATTGCAAATACAAGTTGCTTCTTGTTGGAGGTTAAAAAGCCCTTAGCCTATGATTCCTTTTACATGAGCTGACCAGAATAGGAAGATCCATGGAGAAAGAATAAAGACTCATGATTGCCAGGGGCTGGGAGAAAAGAAATGGAAGTACAGGGCTTCTTACAAGATGATGAAAATGTTCTAAATTTAGGTAGTGGTAATGGTAGCCCAACCCTGTGAATATAAATACCATCGAATTGTATACTCTACAGGGGTGAATTTTATAGAATGTGAATTGTGTCCCAATAAAGCTGTTGTTTTATTTATTGGTTTTCTTTAAAAAGCCCTTAGCTCTTCTGCTCCAGGTGTCCTAAGAGAAGTGTGGTGTTTAGGGCTGCAGAGAGGAGTTATTATCTAAAGTAATCCAGAAAGACAGATGGTATCTAGACAGACAGCGGGAGATGAAGGCTAGATAAGGAATGTTCAGCAGGGAGTAGAGTAGGCTGCGCAGACACCAGAGGGAGGGCTTGTTTGGAGAAGGTGGCTAGCATCAAGAGAATGAAGAGCAGTACTGCATGGGAATAAAGAGATGCGGAGGACTTGAGAGTGTTGAATGCTAGGCTGACAAGTTTATCAGTTAAATGAGGAGTAACTGAAGGCTTTTGACCACGGAAGTGCAGGAACTGAACCATAGGACAGGTGTGGCATGAATTGGGAGAAGGAGAGACCTAGGTGAGGGGAGACCAGGTCGGAACCTGGAAATTGGAGGATGGAAGGTTTTAGAAGTCAGGGGTAAGTGTGGACATCGATTTACTTATAGGTTAGTCTGTTTTCTCAGCCACTAACCCACATGTTTTCCCATTCCATTGCTTGTTCTTTATCCAGGCTTTGGGGTAAAGGGCAAGAGGGAGATTGGAAGGAGGGACCAAAAAAAGAATAAGAATGAAGAGAAAAGGTGATAAGGGCAAGATTCCGCTTGCGTGCTTCAGTTGCTCTGTAATTTAGCATTTCCTCCCCATGACTCACTATAAATAACAGGATAGGAAACTTTACTTGATTTCACATCAGTTGATGAGGCTGCCTGCCTCACTATTCCCATCTGTGGAAGGGAAGACTCCCCACCTCCAGTGTAGGTAAACCAGAGAATCTAGAGTAACCTTACTAGAGAATTTTGATCAGGCTGCCTTGGACTCAACATTACTTATAATGTAATATATTTCCTTGGGGAAAAGGTTCCTGATCGGCCCTCATTTGTTACCTGAGACAGTACAGACTTTATCCGTCAAAAGAGAACTCACACAAGTTGTCTTTTGTTGAACTGTGTGAAATTGTCGTTTGACTATTTTTGATCTGGAAAGAAGGAAGTTTTGTAAAGCCTCAACCTAATAGATCCTTTCTCAGTAAACATCTGATGTGAGCCCAAATTTTCCCCTGTTGGTTTCCTTCATAGGTTCCTTCTTTTTTAAGGTGGTCTTGAACATGTCTTTTTTAGTGGTCTTGAACATGTGCTAGTTTCAGGTTCTGAGGAGTCAAAGGTGGCAGTAGCTATGGAGGGCTTGCCCAAGGGCTGGTCAAGAGGGGGAAGGGAGCAGGAACAAGCCCACCGGCCAAAACCAGGGCGTCAGAATCCTTGGTTCTGTATTGTGCAGTCCTTCTGGGTTTAGAAATAAAAATTCAGCCTAAAGGGTTTTCCTTTCCCCAGTGGGTTACTAGGCAGTTGTGCAGTTATAGATCTTCTGCAGTGTGCCAGAGACAACCCATGTGGGTCTCTAAGAAAATCAGGGAAGTATTTTAAAAAATGGGAAATAGGTTAAATGTAAAAGTGGGAACAGATCAAATGTAACAGTGGGGGAAGCAGGCTTCCCTGCTGGCTCTGTGGTGAAGAATCCACATGCAGTGCAGGAGACACAGGTGCAATCCCTGGGTCTGGATGATCCCCTGGAGAAGGAAACGGCAATCCACTCCAGTATTCTCATCTGGGAAATTCCACGGACAGAGGAGCCTGGCTGGCTACAGTCCATGGGTCACAAGAGTCAGATAAGACTTAGCAACAGGCAACAACAAAGTGGGGAGAAGAGACTTAAGGCGAACTTAGTTATGTTTTTCAAGTTGGTGTGATTTCTGATAGCCTAGCACAAAGCCTGGCACACAAGTGCACATGCGTGTTCAGTAAAGATCTCTGAAAGGTCCAGAGACATCACATGAGGTGTTTATTGGTCGGTCGTATGCTCCCTGCTGTTTAGCTTAGAGTGATTTCCTAGAACCCAGGAGTGGGAGAGAAGATACCCAATCCCCAAAGATGTGGAAGGTTGGTCAGCTTTCATTGTCATTACATCCAGATACTGGAATCAGGGCGGGGCCTCTCAATGCTCTTTCCCCATTAGTCGGTGAACTCTGAAAAGTTAAAGTTGTACAGAGTGTCAAGTGCAGTAAATGTAAAGGATATATTGTTACTATAATGTCACAGGAATATGATCATCCGTTTAAAACTGCAGTGGCCACGCACATAAAAATGAGAGACTGTCGCATAACCTTTCCAGGGACTGAAAGCTCAGTTCATGTTTACTCAGCCATGGAAGGTGATTGTCCTGTAGGAATACAGATTATGAATCGAGAGCTCCTCACTCTGCTCACACCAAACAGCCAAACATTTATTCTAAATCACAGAAATACCATTACAGCAAAACCTTAATTACCTAACACCCTCAACTCCACTATAAAGCATATATAGCCGTTTCCCCACAAGGAAGAGGCCTCAGAGGGGTCACTCACACGTTTCCAGTGGCTTTAATGATCTTTGGTGCAGATTTTATCTGAATTCATTTCTACTTTAGTTCTACACTTAACTAAATGTCATTAAATCTCTGGGTCTGATTATGGAAGTACTTGTGGAAGACAGACATTTTATTTTAGAAAAAATCTGAAGAAAAATAAGAGAACAAAACAATCAAATAAGAAGAGGGAAAAAACAGAATTAATGAATTGATGTGTTAATAGTTCTTCCCTCCTGGGAATGCTACCCTCCCCGAATCCTGACCTCTCTGGTACATAAATACCCACATGCTTCCGGCAAGGATGTCTCTTTTTAGGAGGCCTTTCCTTAACTCCTGTCGACCTGGGAACTTCCTTAGTCATCCTCTCCACCTCTGACCCACACTTCCATTGCCAGGGGAGTCCAGGGCAGAACCTGGCTGCTCCTCCCTTGTGTTACATTTACATCCTGACGCCCTGCTGCATTGGGCTTCTCATTTCCTGCCTCTGATTTCATTCTGACACATCAGCGTCGGGCAGTTGACATCGCCTTTTTCTCCCTTTTTTTTTTTAACCTGCCTCTTATTTTCTTGCGGTCAAGCAAGTTTTGCAGGAGAATTGAAGTTAAGGGCGAGAGCCAACAGAGGTAGTTTGCATTCAGAGGAATGCAGCTTAGAAAACCTAAAACATTAAAACTTTCAGCATCCAGATAGCTGTCACAAAACCCATTTGCTACAGCTTATACCCTTTATTTGTCAAGAGCTCCTCGGTCTTCAATCAGAATCTATTTTTTTATTATATAATTATAAATTAATGTAGCTCCAAAGGAGGGTGCTACTAGGCACAATTGCACTGATTAAAAAAAAAAAAAAGCTGAAAAACTAATGACCTATTCATTGAAAGAAGAGTCAGAAACATTCCTGAGAAACACCTAAAGGTCAACAGCAGCAAAGCAGCATCACAGAATCATTAGAAAATGCAGGAGCACCGTTCTGTGTCAGCCCATCCAAGCATCACTGATGTCTGGAGAGACAGGATAATGTATGCATAAAAAGATGGCCCTGAGTCATCAAGAAAGTGTCTGTTATGCTCAATACCAGTCTGGTTAAGTAAGAAATGAAGTAATGCATTTTAGGGATTTTTCTGTCCAAATGGTTAATGTTAAATATCTGGGCGTACACTCAGGAGATGAGCCTCAGTTATTTGGAATGCCAATTGCGTTAGGACCCACTCCCCGTGCCCCGGTGACACCAGCTGCACAGGGCAGCGTCCTGGAGAGGGGTGAGGAGTGTGCCGCAGCCGCTTTGTGTGTGGTCTCCCAACTTCTGTGTTGTTGTTTATTCACGGGGTTTTCCTTCCCTTTTCTCTGGTTTCAGATGCGAGTGTCTCTCTGGCTTATGTGGTTTCCCCGTGTGTGAGGTGGGATCCACTCCCCGCATAGTCTCTCGTGGAGATGGGACACCTGGAAAGTGCTGTGATGTCTTTGAATGTGTTAATGGTACGTGGGGTTTCTCTTGTTCTCAGCGAGTGTACATTTGTGGAGGAGGAGGGAGGGTCCAATCTAGCTGCTTCTGTCTTTTAAAAGGCAGACAACATGCTCAGGGCGTTGACGGAACTCGGAATAGGTGCTCAAGATGCCACCATGCAGTAGGGAAAGTTAGGAAGGGAATCCTCACTCCCTCTTTTAGAGAAGGCATTTTTGAAAAGGTCATCTCAGACTGCACATGACCATCATATTCTGCTGTGTGTTTTAGTAGTTGAGAAATTCTAGGATTACAGGAAAAGGACCACAGAAAATGTGGCCGTGTTCTTCCAGTCAGAAGACCTCATCCCGTTGCTCTTGGAAGTAGTCTGTGTAAGTGATGCCACGCTGGAGTGACCACAGTTTGAAAGAGAAAAGACCGTGTTCCTCTAGTTCATCGTTTTTCTCCTTAGAGGAAACACCTCTGGCCAGCCCCAGTCAGTAGTATTGGCCTCATTAAAGCTGGAATCTTGTGGACCAAAAAAGCCATTCTTCAGTCCCAGGATTCCTTCACAGAAAATCCACCTCTCTCCCTCTCACCTCTTAGCAGAGGGTTTGGGGTGTGACAACCTGGTGTTTATTGAATTTAGATGCTAGAAGGGAGGAGAGCCTAAATCATGCCCCTCCATCAGAATTTTCAGAAGAAAAGCAAAGAATAAACTCAAGCAAGTGAAATGTCAGTGATTTTTAGAGAGCATTATTTAGTCAGTATTTAGACACACAAGGAAAATGACTTTGGATGTGGACAAATACGACAAAATTATACAGGTAGAAGCGTCCGTTTTAACCGCTGCCTATAAGAAATCAGGGTTCAGAAGATTTTCTGCCCTTCTCCCAAGCTGCCCCTCCCCAACAAGAAAGGTTATATAAAAAGTCCAGATTTGTTTCACCGAGTCCTGTAGTTTTTAGGCCAGAGGCTACACATTTTTTTTTGTTTTTTCCCCACTTTGAAGAAGCACTGGCAGTGTAACTCTGTGGTTAAAAGAGAGCATCGAGTGGAATTGCATGACTCCAGTGTGAAGGCCAGTTCCTCCACTTGGTAGCTGTGTGGCTTTGGTCATCCCCGTGGCCTCCCTGCGCCTCAGGTGCCACCTGTGTCGAATGGAGAGAAGAACAGTAATGAAGTGAGGTTTTGTATGTGAGGCACTAGAAATCGTGCTTCGAGAACAAACAGTCTCTATGCTTCTGTGTGCCTCCTTCCTGCTCACGGTCCTGGACATTGCAGGACGTTGCTTCTTGACTTAAAGCACGCAGGGAGAGGTGAGGGCAGGCTCCATGCACATAGATCTTTCTCGGTGTTTCTCCCCACCTGCATTATCATCCAGCCGGTAGCCATGTCTGTTCACCACCAGCAAATGGCCAAGCCTCTGGTACTTCCTGCTGAAGCTAATGGACTGTAAGTGATATTCTGTGAATATTTAACTCGTACCATTGGGGCCAAAATAGTTGGTCCTTGTCCTGAGCTCCCAGCATCTCAGATGTGCTTCCTTCTAGTACTCACCCCTCTGCGTGCCTCTCTCTCACCCTAGAATCTGAACTGCCAGAAAACAGGGAATCTGTCCTTGTGTCTGTGACATTAGCACATTACCTGTTTCTTGAGGGGCACCTGGGTTCTGACGCATGGCTGGGTGAGCAAGCAAGTGATCTGATTCATATCATCTTAGTTCCCTCTAGAGTGGCTGTTAATTGTCAGCCCATAGAGGAGTTACTTTGTGAGAATCTGCTATCTTTTACTGCCCCACACTTTAATCTGAAGTCTCTCATACCCTGGAAATAACACCTCTAGTAATACAACTTGCTGTTGTATCCTCTGGGTGAGAAAGTGGAGAATCTTCTTTCCTTGCTTCTTAATTATAGAAACCCAAGTGTCAGACCTTCTCATCAGGACATTCACTTTACATCTCACCCCAGTGTGATGCAGTTTGGGCAGCTGATTACTGCCTCTGCTTGACCTCAGTGGCCTTGGATAAATCTCCAGGGCCTGCTCCCAGTTATAGAGCCCTGACTTCAGGAACAGGCCTTCTACTGTGAGAAAATGTTGAGACGACAGAGCAGTAACAGGATTTCAGGTGTTTGCGTCTTTCTTGCCACCATAAATTAGTTGGGTGACCTTTGCTTTACTTTTTGTCCTGCTGTAGTTTGTCTATTATTGTATTAGTCATTAATTGTAGGTGAGGCTAGAAACTACGCTACTCTGAAGATTTAAAATTCCACAGGATACTATTTATGGAATTTTGTCTCAAAGTCTGTATTTCACTTTTTTTGGCATACATACACACACTTCCCTCCATACACATGTTTGTATGTGTGTATGTGTATTTGATTATTTGGCACCCAGTGCCCTGGGAAAATCTTACTATTGTCAAAAGATCCCCATTACATCGTATTACCTATCAAAAATTCATTATCATTGCCCGGAAGAGCAGGGGTCTATTTTATGTATCCATATTTTTTAAAACCTTATATGTGTGTGTGTGTGTATATATATAAAGCCTTACTTATCCACAGAGGACTTGAGGCAATTTTACACTAAGAGCAGACACAATAAAATAGTGGTAAAATATTAATAAGAAAAGAGAGTCAGACTGTAGAGTTGTACGTGAAAGTTGAAAAGCAAAAAGGAAGTGCCCACAGGTGTGCAGGCCATAGCATCTGTCTATATAATTGCTGGAGTTAAATGTCAGGTTAGGCCCCCGGCGTCCTGGCCATCAAAACGGAAAGGGAGATAGAATCAGAGCCACGATTCTTATTTTTAGAGACAAGAAACCTGTCAAGACAGGGCAGCATTCCCCTCGTTTGGAAACTTTTGAAAAGAGAGCGCTGGCTGACGCAGTGAATTGTGTCCTAGTTGCTTTACTCCCAGTTTCCTCTGGCTGCTCTTCTCAATAAAAAGTAAAAGCAAAATATTAAAATAAACCTCCATGAAAGCAGTTCTCAGGGGTGAGTTGAACACCCATCTGGAATCTGGATGCCCGAAGATCAGTTTCTTGATTTTGAGAACACCACCCAGCCCCCTGGCCCCCACCACCACCATGCCCCTGCAACATTGTGGGAAGGTATTGGAGTAGATCAGGAACCCCCATTCAGGAGACAGTGGGTTGCTGTCTAACCCCACGTCAAGAAACGGAGATTACCTGCCAGCACTCAGTTCCCTAACTGCCATCCAGGTGATCCATATGCTTACATTATTATTTTTTTAAGATAAGCATTATAGTGAAAACAGAAGATTGAAAACAGAAAATTCAAGAACTCTTGAGTTTTGAAAACATTGGCCTAGATGGATAGATGGAAAGGACATTCTCCGTAAATGTTACTCCTCTTTTCTGTTGGGTTTGGTTTTATACTGGTGGGAGGACGGCTGAGCTGCCCGTCAGACTGTGCCAGTCTGTGACTGAGGGCTGAGCGGAGGACCGGCACGGTAGTAGTTGAATGAGAACCCTGTTGTCTAGAAACCAAATGAGCAGGTGCTGAGCTGGTGCTCCTTTCGTGTGAACTTGTGAGACATCAGTATCACCACCTGGAAGGATGATCTCCGCAGCAGTGTTGAGTAACCCCACATCTTCTTCAGGAAATAGTTCTGTGTCTGCTCTGGCCCAAAAACAAGTTTTTTCATCCATCACTGGGGGTTGAGTGATGGCCTCTCTTTAGATGGACACGTGTCCTCTTCCATTTGGTAACAGTGCATCTTACTGCCTTACACTGGCCCGGCTCACTCGTTTCTAGAGGCATTTGAATAGGGTTTGAATGGGGAAGTCATCCATGCTCAGAGTATAGAAGCGATCATTTGGTTGCTTAGATATGGTCAGGTCTCCAACATACTAAAATGCACAGAAATCCAGACTGGAACATTGTGGTTTGAGTGTCACAGCCACTGACTCTTCCAGCATCAGACACTCACATGTAAAATCAATCAGTCATAGGAGAGCCAGACCCAGAGTCAGCTTCTCCTTGTGCAAAATCTGGGCCTAGAAAGCTCAGACCTTGGGTTTCCCTTGTGGTCCAGTGGGTAAGAATCCGCCTGCCAAGGCAGGGGACATGGATTCAAACCCTGCTCCAGGAAGATTCCGCGCGCCACAGCTACTGAGCCTGCGCTCTAGAGCCCGGAGCCACAACCCCTGAAGCCCGAGTGCCCTGGAGCCTCTGCTCCGCAAGAGAACCACCTCACTGAGAGCCTGGCCACTGCCGTCAGAGACTAGCCCCGCTCGCTGCAACTAGGGAAAGCCGGCACGCAGCAATGAAGACCCACCACAGCCCCAAAAAAAATAAATCTTTAAGGAAAGAAAAAACTCAGACCTTCAGTTTGTTAATAAAAAAGTTAGTGTGAAAACATCTGTTGAGAACCCATTGTGTAGCAGTGATGCGCAACAATGTTCCTGGGGATCTAAGGTCTCCTTCTACAGTAAAGGAGAGAATATGGTACCTTGAAAGGAATGTTTCACACAATATACATTTATTGAGCTTCCATTTTGTCCTGGGGGCCTTACCAAGCTAATTTTGCTTCAGAGTGTTTTGCAGTCCTATTTTGTAAGTACTGTTCCCCTTCTCTTATCCTGAGCTACCCTCTATCCGGTATGCTCCGGCACGCAGGCCCGGCTTCCCCCACACTGAAAAGGTGGTTTCTTCCTTCACGTATCGAGCAGCTCATGTAACCTGCCTTTGTGATTCAATCAGTTTGTTGCTGGTTTAATGGAGAAATTGTCAGACATTGCTCATTTGTCATGCAGTTATCTCTTTTTGACTTACTAAGTCTGCCCACTTTCTTTCTGTACCACTCACCCCAGAGAAAGGAGACCAGAGGCAAGACATCAGCCATTTTTCACTGAGATATTAAAGAGAAAAAGCAACAGAAGTATACTTATTTGGACTTTTCCCCTCCATTTTCACATTTGATGTGAAGTTCTATATTTTAATCTTTTCCTTTGCTAAAATTATATATCTATCACCATCTGCCAATCAGCCTGATTTGGCAAAGCAATAGTACTTACTAGCAATCTATACTATAAAATTCTTTTTCAGGAGTTCTGGAATATATTATAGAGGGAAGAGAAGATTCCAGAACTGAGAAACATAAAATTTAGTTGGGAAGACACAAAAAACATGCAAGAATCTTTAAAAAGACACTTGCGCTTCTCAGTGCATATGCACTTTTATGCATTGAGAAGTACAAGTTGCATAGTAAGTTATTCTATTTGTAATGTTATTCTTTTCTCCATCCATGGAAAATGTCCTCTTACAGAGGTAGTGGTACCCTCCCTGTGGTTCTGAGATTCATCTCTATCCCCAGCAGGTGAAGAAGTAATTGGTCATTGCTCCTCAGAGAGCACTGCCAGCCGTTTTTATTGTGCACTTTTCTGAAGAGCATCTCTAAATCTGTCTCAGCATCAAACAGGGATTTCATTGTATCATGTGATTTTTTTTTTTTTTAATCCTAAAGAATCGATTGTGTTTTCAAGGCTGTGTTTGCTGGGACTCGCCATCTCTCTCAGCTCTGCTCCCTTGCTCTCTGCCTCTGCTAGTGAAACGTAACTGCCCCAGCCTCCTTGTCAGTCTCGTCTCCTCCCTCCCGCTCAAGCTTCCGCACAACCTGCCATAAATGCGAGTGCATCTGGAGCCACTTTGTTCATAACCACAACCTTTCCTCCTCACTTCCTCAAATCTCGCACCGAGATTTGTGGCTTCACCCAGATGGTCGTTGTGGTTGATGAAGGCAAATAGGTAATTAATACTGATTGGTTTCTTAAGAAATGTTGTTCTTCAATTTGAATGGAAGCTCAGCATTTTGATAGAATGCAGTATTTTGCCTCCTTTCACAGCATGAAAATTTGATTGGTGAAAAGTGCTTCATTTCCTACACTTTCAAACTTGGGGTCTAACTGCCCAGTTCCTTCCAATCCCAGCTCAAGTTTAGTATGTTAGATAAAAGCATATAGACTTCTGAGCTGTAATAAGATGATTCTTTCTGACATGAGTTTTCTGGGGGGAAGAAAATAGTATATCCAGCCAGTACTAGGGAAGAGGTTCAGACATGCACATTTAACTGCCTTTGTGAAAATACATGCACACAGATCATCTCACACTAATGATGTGACTTTAGGCAAGCTGCCTGATTGCTTTAAATTTCATTTTCCTCATTGAAGAAGTAGATGTTAATAGTTGTTCTCTATTGTCAACAGCATTGTTATAAAGTCAAATTAGAAAACACTAGTTTGTCCGAGTACAAAACAAATGTAAGTATACTCAAAATGCAGTGGAAGTCTCACGTATTCCGAACATGCAAGGTGACACATGGAGAAATGATGTTAGGACAGAGAAGCCCATGACTTATGTATGTCATAATCCAGTTTTTCCTACCTTATTAAATAGGTTGCATTAGCTCAGGAGAACTTTTTTTTTTTTTACCTTGGAATTACTTTTATTTTTCCAGCTTTATAGAGACACATGCCATGCAATTCACCAAGTAAAGTTGCACAGTTCCATGATTTTTAATATATTCACAGTTGTGTGATTGTCATCACAATTTTAGAACACTGTCATCAATCGCCCCCCTGAATTCCCAAGCTCTTTAAGTCACCCCATATGTCCCCCAGACTTTCCAGCACTCAGTTCAGTTCAGTTCAGTCGCTCAGTCATGTCTGACTCTTTGTGACCCCATGAATCACAGCACGCCAGGCCTCCCTGTCCATCACCAACTCCTGGAATCCACTCAAACCCATGCCCATCGAGTGGGTGATGCCATCCAGCCATCTCATCCTCTGTCATCCCCTTCTCCTCCTGGCCCCAGTCCCTCCCAGCATCAGGGTCTTTTCCAATGAGTCAGCTCTTCGCACGAGGTGGCCAAAGTATTGGAGTTGCAGCTTCAGCACCAGTCCTTCCAGTGAACAGCACTAGGAGACCACTAGTCTACTTCCTGTCTCTGTAGATGTGCCTTTCATGGGCCTTTCACATAAATAAAATCCTATACGACATGTGGTGGTGTATTTTGACTGACTTCTTTTGCTTGGCATAATGTTCCCCAGGTTCGTTTATGTTGTAGTATATATCAGAACTTCATTCCTTCTTATGGCCAAGCAACATTCCATTACATGGACATACTACCTTTTGTGTATCATCATCAGCTGGTTGATGTTTAGACTCTTTCCATTTTTTTTCTACTGCAAGTAACAGGAGCCATTGCTGTAAACATTTGTGTGCGAGGTTTTATGTGGGTAGATGTTTCCCTTTCTCCTGGATGTGTATCTAAGAGTAGAATTGCTGGATCCTCTGGTAATTCTGTTTCTTACTCTGAGGAACTGCCAAACAGTTTTTTCAAGACATCAGCACTCACCAAGATGTATGAGAGTTTCCATTTCTCCATGTCCTCATTAACATTTGTTATTATCTGTATCTTTTTCATGATAGCCACCCTCGGATATGAACTGATGTCTCATTGTGGCTTTGATTTGTATTCCCTTAATAAGTAATGATGTTAAGCATCTTTTCAGTGCTCATTGGTCATTTCTGTATCTTATTTGGATAAATCTCTGTTCAAATATTTGCTCATTTTTCAATTGGGTTATTTTTATTGTTCTTTCTGGATGCAAGTTCTTATATATCTCAAGTGTCAGATTGCACCCTTGTTAAAGGTCACTAAATATGAGAGTTTATTTCTAAACTCTTAATCAATTCCATTGAACTATGTATTTATCCTGATGTCAAGTACTACATTGTCTTGATACTGTAGCTTTGTAGTATGTCTTAAAATCAGAAAGTGTGAATCCTCTGGATTTGTTCTTTTCAAGTTTGTCTTGGCAATTCTGGGTTCCTTGAATTTCTTATTGATTTTAGGAGTCACTTGTCAGTTTTTTACAAAAGAAAAAACTAGAATTTTGATAGAGATTGAATGAATATGTACATCAGTTGGGGGAATGTTTTCATCTTGCCAGTATTATCTTTCAGTCCATGAAAATGGAATATATTTTCATTTACTTAGGGCTTCTGTACCTTCTTTGAACAATGTTTTTTAGTTTTCGGAGTACAAGTTTTGTACTTTATGTTTAGACTTATTATTAAATATTTTTTTCTTTTTCATGCTACTGTGAATGGAATTTTTTAACTTTGTTTTCAGATTGTTTATTGCTAGTGTGTAGATATACAATTTATTGGAGTTTCAGTTTTACCCTGAAATCTTGCTAAACTTTTTGTTCTAACAGAGTTTTAGTAGATTCTTTAGAATCTTTTTAAACTCAAAATCATGTTACTGACAATTAGAGTTTTCATGCTTTCCAAAATGGGTGCTTTTTATGTCAATTTTTTGCCTGATTACCCTGACTGGAGCTTCCAGTACAAAGGAGTCAAAGTGCTTACAGTGGACATCATTGTCTTAATCCTGAACTAAAGGAAAAAGCATTCAGCTTTCACTGTTAAGTATGTTGTGCTAATATCATAGATGCTGTTTATCAAGTTGCTGTCTAACACCTCTACTGCTAAGTTGTTGAATGTTTTTATCATGAAAGGGTGTTGAACTCTGTCAGATGTTTTCTCTGTGCCTGCTGAGATGATCCTATGGTCTTGTCCTGTATTCTATAGACATTACATTACATTATAGTCAATTACATTAATTGATTTTTGGATATTAAACCAACCTTGCATTCTTGGTATATGATATTTTTTATATGCTGCTGGATTCAGTCTGGTAGTACTTTTTTGAGTATTTTTATGTTTATATTTATAAAAGCTATAGATCTGTAGTTTTCCTTTTCTTGTGATGTCTTTATCTGGAAGGAGTTCTTTTAAGTCAACCAAAGTTAGAGTTAAGGAGTGGATTTAGGGGAGAATGTTTTCGTCCAGAGAAAAATTTTAAATCATTGGTATCATTATCATTCTAAATGCAGGGCTTTGAGTCCTTAGCAGAAAACATAGTCTTGAAACACAGTGGGAGGAGTACAAGGTTTTAGTTGAAGAGCTACTGTTTTGGCTTCTATCATTTGCTAAATGTGTAACTTTGCACAAATTACCTAGGATTTCCTCCCTTCTACACTCAGGATAAGTATTTCTACATCAGACCTTTGTTTTGGGGAGTAAGTGAAGTAATGTATGTAGAAAGTGTTTTTTAAAGACCAAGCACTATTATAATTATAGATTATTAACTAAATAGAAAAAAGAATTTCAGAGAAAACACTGGAGAAACAGAAACATATCCTAAGAGGCTTAAGTAAATTTTTTGAGGCAGAACAAAATCTAATGTGGATGCAGGATCGTTTACTTGAAATAGACAGTGATTTAACAAAGGAAACATTCTATTTAACAAAACTAAATCTTTTTAAAGCACATATAAGAAATGTCAGATTCATGGTCAAATGATTACTTTTATTTGGGATAAAGAGAAGCCAGTGTAGATTTTACTAAGGGGAATTTTGGTTCCTTGTTATAATGAGGATAATGATGTGTTTTGTTTATTTTATTGTACTTTACATAGCTTTATTGCATCTGTTGTAAAAAAATTATATTGAGTCTAGTAAAGTTCCATTAAATTTTAACCTTGTGCAGTATTTTCTAGATGCTATTTGAGAAACATGAAAGGACACCACTCAGAAATGACTTTGAATGAGCTTTGCTTGTTTTAACTCCTAGAAACAAAGCCAGCCTGCGTGTTCAACAACGTGGAGTACAGTGATGGAGACATGTTTCGAATGGACAACTGTCGATTCTGTCGATGCCAAGGGGGCGTTTCCATCTGCTTCACTGCCCAGTGTGGTGAGCTGAGCTGTGAGAGGTACTACATGCCTGAAGGGGAGTGCTGCCCTGTGTGTGAAGGTAAGGAAAGCTGCCAATTAGGGAATGATAAGAACAGGCTTCCCAGCTGGCGCAGTGGTAGAGAATCTGCCTGCCAATACAGGAGACCCAGGACACATGGGTTCAGTCCCCGGGCTGGGAAGATCCCCTGGAGGAGGGCATGGCAGCTCACTCCAGTATTCTTGCCTGGAGAATTCCTTGGACAGAGGAGCCTGGTGGGCTACTGTCCGTGGTGTCACAGAGTCGGACATGACTGAGCGACTAAACAACAAAGCATAGACATGGTTTTAAGTGTCAACATCAAAACTGACGCAATTCAGTCTCACTCAAAAATAGAGGAAGATTGAAGAATTCCCCGTTTTTGTCCCATGTTTTACCTTTTAGGTAATGCCAGGTAGACGATGTGGAAACACTTCCCTGAGGGAAATTATCCCCTGGGTGTAGACAGCGGTCGTGTTTCCACAGGTCGACATGAGGTCTCCCGGAGGCACTCTCTGTTCCTCCTCTGCAGTTCCAGCAGTTTCTTGGCAAGTCCCAGGACTTTCTCTTCATCCTGACAGTAGAATTCCACCCACTCTGCTCCCCTCAGAGTGGGTGGGGACAGGAGGGCAGGTGACTGACAGCCTCAACCAGCCCGCTCAGAGGGGACCTGACCCTGCCTCCTTTCTGATACCCGTGCCCCTCCGGTGAGAGCAGGGCTCCTTGGGCTTTGCACATGTGTGCTGGTGAGGGTGGGGCCGTGATGTGGCACCAGGTCAAGGCCCAGACAAGTGTCCAGGGTAGCCCTGGGCAGAAGGGTCCCCAAGGTCTGCTTTTTTTTTAAATTCCCCTTTTCCCTCCAAGAAATAATCAGTCCATGTTCCTCCAGTAGGCTTGACCCTCCTGTCTCTGCTCTCCAGAAATAATAGACATTTCAGAATGATAAATGAATATCATATGCTACATCCCACACATTTTAAGGCTAAGGATAGCCAGAAAAGGGGTCACTTCTCTCTTGAGTTTCCGGTAAAGCCACGAACAGTGCCCAACTGTGTCTCTGGTCTAAACACACTACAGTTTCCCCAGACAGGAGGGTCTTGTGAGCATTTCTTCTCTGCCTGGGCCACAGACCTCCAGTCTGGAGTCAGGCATGCACACCTCACGTCTGACGCTCATGCCACCCTTAACCTCCGCACGCGAAATGGGAGAACAGGATTCCATGTCATGTCCTCTAACTTGCTCTGTTTTCAGAATCCCATTTCTTTCCAGTATCTGAGTTTTATTTACCACAGAATCTGAAGATCTGAAATTGCTCAGACGATACAAACTATTGTACATTCCTAACAGCGAACAATTCTACATTCCTAACAGGGAGGCCTGCTCACCTGTTAGAAATTATTTTCGCTAACACAGGAGAAAGGTGGTTCACTTTTTAGGTGTCATAGGGGATTTAAGAATGTCACATCAAGCTTTTAACCTTCCCAATTGATTTGTCCCCTCACTACTGCCAGTGTATAATAGTCCCTGAATTTGGTGACAGTTGGTGGTATAAAAGCGTAGATGTGAACCTCTGTATAATAATTGTAACGAGTTGTCTGGCCACGGATCCACTTATGTCTCACTTCCTGGAATTCAGATCCAGGCTCAAAGTAGAAATGAAGTATGTAATGTAATATTTTCTTTTTACAAAGAAATTTTATGAAGTCTCATCTAACTCAGGTCTCTTGGCTGCGTCCGTGGCTGACAGACTGCCTTTCTGAAGCTGTGACTGCACGGCCTTCAGTTCTGGCCTTCTGACTCTCTTGTAACTAAACTTTCTTCCTCTTCGAAAGAAAGGGGACCAAACTTAAAAATTCCTGGACTCTCCTCCCAGCACAGCAGCACTTGCTTCTCTTGAGACCAGATCTTATGTATCTGGAGAAAGAACGTTGAGTGGTTTGTCTAGTTACTTTGATGTGTAAGGATATTCGGGGGTTTTGTGTCTATGCACTCGTCAACAACCCCAGAAAACTCTTCCCAGTAGCCTTGGCTAACTGCGGCCCAGCCTCAGTCGCTGTTTGACCGCTCGGCTCAGGTGGAGAGAAAGCTGTGTGGGTTCATGGCATTCCCTCCAGGGCACAAGCAGTGCTGCGGTGCATGGTTTAGACAAGGTCTCTCTGCCCTGCCAGGGGCCTGCCTACGCCTCACTGTTATCTCAGGGACCTCCAGGCATCATGAGATAGGCTCCAGTTAGCCCTAGAAATAGCAGACTCACTGTAAGTTAGATGGAGTGTTACTCTTTCTACTTTACAGGGGGCTGAAATTGAGGTATAATAAACTTGTAAATTGACAACTCAGAAGGCATCTGCAGAGCCTAAAATGGATCTGCTTTTTTTTTCTTTCTGATTGCCACCCCACAGCTCTATCCACGAAGCTTTGCACCTTTATGAAACAGCAGCGCCTGCACACTGGCTTGTATGCCTCAGGTCCCCTGCCCTGTGAACCATATCAGGATGGGTAGGCATAAATTCTGTGTGATGGCTGCCTTTGCATAGCCCCACTAGAGACACCTCCTGTAGCCCCGAGTTTCTGCTGAGCGCAGCTGGGAAAGAACTGCTGATGAGGAGAACCTGGGGGAAAAATGTCTCTAGGTGCAGGCAGAAATAACATGTAGAATGCCCTCGGTCTTACTTGGAACTCACATTTTAATTTAGATCCTGTGTATCCTTTGAACAATCCTGCTGGCTGCTATGCCAATGGCCAGATCCACGCCCACGGGGACCGGTGGCGGGAAGATGACTGCACGTTCTGCCAGTGCATCAATGGGGAGCCCCACTGCGTGGCGACGGCCTGTGGACAGAGCTGCATGAACCCCGTCAAAGTGCCTGGGGAGTGCTGCCCCGTATGCGAAGGTAAACCTTGGGGATCCTAGTGAGCCTCTGGTGAATGTCTCGTGTCGGATCAACTTCCACCAGTGTGTGCTCGCTTGTGTTTTATTTCCTCAGGTGTAGTGTCTGCTTCCTGCTGTTAGTTGCAGGGGATTTGATGATACAGCCCAGACTAATCATTTGGAGGAGATGCTGCAGATTTACAGTGAGAGCAGTGTGGCCTTTATTTTACCATTGCAGATAATGCTTAACTGAATATTTTACACTCAAAGAATATATGCATTTGAATTCAGTTCACCACAAGCCTAATTAACATCTAAAGGTCAAAACAGGGAAATGAAATTGGAAATAAGACCCATACTCAAAGTATAGTTTGTTCAATTTATAATGCTTCTATAAGCCCAAGAGTCCTGGCAGCTAGAAGAAAGACCTGGAACCATCAAAGGCAGTTTTCACTGCCCAGAGTCCTCCCTCTGAGTGTCCATTGTTTCTAATATCATGATGGCTGTGGCTTTGCAGTTCCTCTCAGGCTTTCACTTATGTCTTGGTTACCTACATTCGTGACCTCTCTTTCTTTTCAGTGAAGAGGCGCCTGAGATATCCTGGACTTGTCTTTCCATCTCAACCCCTAAGCCAGGCCATTTTCACCATCCTGGGAAGATTCTTTGCACATTTTTTCAAGCCAGTCTTAATCCCCAGTCCATATCTGTTAATACAAGAGATTGACTATGTATGCTGATAGGTCTAATAGAGAGTATCCATCACTTAGAAACACGTTTGCATAGTGAAATGAACTAAAGTGGGTCAGAAATTAATCCTTGTAGGAGATGGATCCTTCTAGAATTTTTAAAAACAGCTGTTAAGGAAATGACCAGTTTTTTTAGAAATTCAGTCAAGTAGACTGAGTCCTCTGTGGAGAAGGCTTTTCCTTCTACCTCAATTTTAATCAACTCAGTCTTCAGAGTTTGCCTGACTAGCTTCATTAACCTCTGAGGGGTTGGAGTTATTAAAGATCTTAAAAGTCATATAAAAATTTAAACTGGAGGATTCTGGTTCTATTGACATCACCAATTCCCTCACCATTACTCTACTTACAATGCAGCTGCCACACTCCAAAACTTTATAGCTTCCAGATGACCAATTTTATGGAAATCACGCACCACCCCCCCAACCCTCGCAATATACTCCTCCTATCCCCTAAAGGCAGCATTTCAGTGCTGGAAATGGAGTGCACAGTAGTATGTATGATGGTGTATAGTCAGCTTTACAAGGAAGGATGCCTTGCTGGCGCAGATTAAAATGGGACTGTCTATTCCTAAGAATTAGGGACAGTCTGTTGTTGATTTGCAATGTTTAAGTATATATGTATGCATGCTAATGAAGAATTTTTTTTAATTTTAAAAAGCATAAATATATAACCCAATAAGCACTAACCTTTTAACTTCAGGAGTCTTGAATCATAGATTGAAAATAAGAATAAAAAAAAACTTGTAAAAAAAAATATAGGGCTTCATTTCTAAAAGTAAAGAAGGCATATCGTTTTGCATTCATCTTTTGCAGTCATTAGCAGTTCCATCCTGGTGAGCAGAGAAGGGAAGCAGGTGGTGAATAGAAGAAAAAAAAAAAGTCTATATGAGAAAACTGATTTATTCTTATGTAGATGTTTGGGTAGGAAGGAGATGTTAGTCTGATCACTTAGAGTTTGGTCTCTGCAACATTTGAGTCAGGTTGTAATCTTATCTTCCACTATTTGAGAAAAGTGACAGTTTGAACCAGTCATTAATTCCAAAAAATGTACTAACCACCTTCCGTAATCCATATACCACATTGGACACAAAGATAAATAAAGTACATCTCCTAGTAAACGTCAAAGAAACTGTTTCGGCTGTTTTAAATTAAGCCAGAAAAAAAAAAGGAATGTCTACATTCAGATGCTGTGGGATAAGTGCTTTTTATGTGTACCTGATTTCATTAAACCTCACATCACTACTGTGCTGTAGGCCTTATGATCCCATTTTAGAGATGAGAAAATTAGGTTTTGGAGAGATTTAGGTAAATTCTTGCAAGGTCAGTTGCCAACATGTGGCTGAGCTGGGGCCGACTGCAGTCTGTCAGATTCAGCTACCTCTGTGTCTGTTTTCCTTGCTCCCAGAGGTCATCTCAGTGTCCTCATCCCCCTATTTCTAGCTCCCTTATATCTCTCTCCATCTCTGGCTTTTGGCCCTGTGTTGGAGACCTGGAAGTCAGTTGACAGGGAGGAAGGCATTTGTTGACAGGGAGGAAGGCATTTGCAGTTTGACAGCTATTCCCTGTGATCTCCTGAATCTGAGGACCTTGGGGGAAGGACACCTTTGAGACTCAGCCTCGATTTGCCTCTCAGACCTCACGTCCAGGCTGTCCCCTCCACCAGACTTGGCATCTTTACTCCAAGCTATTAGGCTCTGCGGGTCTCAGTTCCTTTCTGTCCGTCTTATGCCCCAGCCTTTCAGAAGTTTCCATCGTCTAGTTCTTGGAGAACTACTTTGCCTTCTGTTTCTTGCTTTTGTCTTAAAGTCAGTTAAGTAGTGGGTTTCGTATAAGATTGTGTTTACTCTTCAGTAACGTTCTGATTTTAAGATGTTTTCAGAAGACCGGAAGATTCTTTTGGTCGTGGTTGTTCAGTCGCTAAGCTGGGTTTGACTCTTTGCGACCCCGTGGACCGTATCCCGCCAGGTTCTTCTGTCCTGCAGTGTCTCCCAGTTTGCTCAGATTCGTGTCCGTGATGTCAGCGATGCTCTTCTTTTGCTATGGGGATCAAAATACAGTGCACAGCTTAGGATAATGATCGTAAAAGTTTATTGTTTATGAATAATAGTAAACTTATTTATTAAAAACCATAAACTTACAAAATTATGCAAGGCAAATAAATCTTACTACTTAGTTTTTAGGATCCAAGAAAGACCCTGAAACTATTTGAAAATATTTTTCTCAACAGTTATTCAATAGCCTATTTAAATAGAATTTTAAGTGATTTCAGAAGAGCCAAAAGGATTAGACAAAATAAGAAAAAATCAAGGTGGTGTTGTTTAATGAATAATCAGCCAGAATTATTTGGAGGAAAACAGAAACACTGGTATTTATTCAATTTATACACAGTAAATTCCTCGGTGCACAATTGCATAACAAGGTTGGCCCTCACCCTTATTAGCTGCAATCCCAAGGTACATAGTCAGGGTTTGAAATTTGATGAAAGGGATCCCACACAAGGATTGTGGGTTTAAATTCTTCCTAAATAAATTACTGCATCAACAAATAGGGTGTGTTAGGTCCTGTAGGGAGGAAAAAACCTTGTTGTGACTGCTGATGTTATTAGAGATACATACCTTCCAAATGACAACATAATGTGCCTGGTTACTCCTGGAGGACTGGGGATGTGAACTTGGGGGCGCTTAAAGACTAGGCTGTTAACTTGACAGCTACCTCAATTCACAAGCACCTAAGTGCTTTTTAAATTGGCACTCAAGTACTCTCATGATTAAGTCTTAGCAAATTAGTGTCAACAGCCAATTCAGGTACACAGATAAGCCATCTTATTCTGTAAGTGATTGTGTTCTTAGGTTTTGTTCTGTTGGCTCTCTGTTTCTCCTCTTATTCATCAATCACATTATTTCTGTTTTTTGGCCCTTGTGAAAAACCAGAGTGGGAATACACAGAACAGCATGTAAAGTTTGCAGTTTAAGCGTCCATGTGGGGGATATGTCCATATTGTCTTAAAAACAAACACGACATGAAAAAGAAGGGCAGCAGAATTGAGTCTTCTCAGCGTCTAGCACCATTTGCAGTGTCTTATTGTAGCCCTTAATGAGAGCAGCTGCTGCCTCTTGCACACTGACTGAGCCAGACCTCAGTGCTTTAAGAGCATCAGCCCATCTGACACTCACGCCTTCCCTCTGTGGCAGGTTCTGCCATCCCAACTTGTGATTGCAGAGCCCAGAATTCAAAAGTTGTGTGACTTGCCCAAGTTCCTACAGCTTGAAAGTTGCAGAGCAGTATCCACAGCGCCTTGGCTGTGGACCCCACAGGAATACGGTCTAGGAGACAGAATGCTCTGCGTCCTCTGGGTTGACCAGTAACCTGAAAGAGGCTACGTCCCCCATGAGCTAGGATTTTACCATATGCTTTTGAATCCCTAAAATGGCACCTGACATGTAAAGTAGGTGCTGAAAAGTAGTTAATTAATGGCTGATGAATGAATGAGTGAGGAAAAGACTGGATGGAGTAAGGCAGCAGACCCTGATCTGGGGTTTCCTCAACCAATGCTGTTAAAGAGGTCAGATGCTGATGAAAGAATAATGTTTAAATGCTTATATTTGACAGTGTGCTCTGAGGACAGGAACCAGAGTACTGTATGAAGTGTGTTTGGCACACACAGGGTCCAGATGGCTGCAGGTGAGCTGACCAGTTAGCTCAGGTTGACCGCTCACCCTCATGATGAGCACTTAGCTCTCCATCCCCTCCCAGGGACAGCCCTCCAAGCCTGGTTTGTAAACTGCAGTTCATCCTCTCAGTTCATCCCCTGCAGTCCAGAATCACAGAGTTCAGTTGGGCCTTCTCCAGACCCTCCAAGGCTAATGCTCACTGTCACGTTTTACATGCTGCTTTTCGACCTGCTTTTGAGAATGTATAGGGGCCACTATCTTGTTTTCAGCTAGACTTTTTAATATCACTTTTAGGTATTGAGAATAATTTGCTTGTTTATTTCCCAGTAATGCAAGGTATAAATGCTGTCTTGGTTGATTCTTAACATCAGAGATACCCTAAGGACAGAGTACCATTTTCTATCAAAAAAACAAAAAACAAAACTGTTTGTTGTATAATTAAAGGTAAGATAAGGTGTTGGGGAGGGGAATTTGGCTGTGTGATGTAATGGCATGACCTGATGACTCAACAGAAAAATGCAGGCTGTGTGGACAACTGTGAGGCCAGCTTGGCTGTGACCTGATGCAGGAGATAAGGATTTCATCATCCTTGGCAAGCCCTGATGT